ATATTTGTCTAACCGGTTTGCTAAGTGTTGTTGTAGAAATTTTTATAGGCTATTCACCCCCCTCTGGCCATTATGACCTTTCACAGCCGGGAGTTCTGACTCTTATGTGGATTTTATTATAAGTGCTAAAATAAACTTTGAGTGCGAGATTTCTTACAACCCCACTTCCAAGTGGTTAGGTAGACACGTAGAGTAACTCCCTTGACGCCGAAACGCTTCCACTCCATAGATCGAGTCCAAACACTAAGAGGTGCTATGTGGAGAAGAGAAACAACCAAGAACAAATATGATAGCACCAATCACAACAACAAAAAGCACGCGGGACACAAGGATTTAGCTCGAGGTTCGGCAACCCCACAACGGTGCTCCTACGTCCTCGTTGTTGAGGTGACCACAAAGGTCAGAGTCTCTTCCACCTCCTTGCCTCTCTCAAGGCAACCACAAAGGTCACTTGAGCTTTTCACTAAGAAATCAAGGGTAATACAAACTTACTAAGGCTCTTCCACAAGATGGAAGCTTTTGGGTGACGCCTAGCCGGCTAGGGGCAAAGCTCCTAGAGTAACAGACGTAAATCCAACTGGCTTGATGAAGAAATCAAGTGCTAAAACTTGCCAAAATGATTCTCTCACTCAATCCGCTCTCCTTTCACTCAAAACCCTAGGGAAATCGAAGTTAGAAGCAAATGGGAGAGAGGAGGGGAGCCTTGAATGCTTCGGAGCTTTTTTAGACAGAGGTAGGTCGTAATGAATGAGTGGGTCATGGTTAGAAGAGAGGAGGGAGCTATTTATACTCATAGGCAAAATCTAACCGTTCAGATCTACGTCAAAAGTTTCGACATAGATCACCAGAACTTCCTACGCCTATAGAAAACACTATTCCTACACCTTTAAAACTTTCATGGGACTAAAGCTGCAATATATCTCAATAAGATTTCATTAGTCCCTAATTTAGATGTCATTAATACACCAAAATCCACATAGGGGGCGAATGCACTTTCACATCTCCCATCATAATCATCAGCTGACAGAACAGTCCTTTGATTATGGGTGCACAAAGAAAGTCATAGAACTTGATATTTAATTATATCAATGCATAAATAGTAGAAAATATCTTTATGCTTTGTAACGGAAGAAAAAATATATCAAGATTATATTCTAAATTTGATACTTAATACGGCGTTGTCATATTACTGCCAACATTAGCTTATATTATGGATATTATGATTATCATAAAATAAATTATAATTTTTAAATTTTATAGAAATGGTAAAACATAAATACATACGTATTCACAATGTTATACTCATAGGCAAAATCTAACCGTTCAGATCCGCGTCAGAAGTTCCGACATAGATCACCAGAACTTCCTACGCCTATAGAAAACACTGTTCATGGCGCAGTCAACTGGGCTAGCTTAGCCAGCGTCAGAACTCCCGGTGGCTATCGGGACTTCTGACGGCCAGCCAAGCCTGGTGACTAAGTCCAGAGCGCCGGGACTTCCGGCGGGAGACGAGACTTCCGGCAGCTGGAACTCCCGGCAAACGTCGGCACTTCCGACGGCCAAACTCCCAAAAACTATATCTAAGTGTTCGTGAAGTGCTCGAGTGTCTCTCTTTTGATTTTATTTTTATGCTTGAGCACTCTATCCTCCTCAGACCACTTAGACTTGCATCCCTCTTTATAGTACGATGAATCTAAACCCCAAACAAGAAATGGAAACTTTGGAAATTGCTTTGAGTTCGTCCGCCTTAAACACTTGAAAGAATTGAGGGACACCATTTTCATCTAAATCAACTCTTTAAAACTTTCATGGGACTAAAGCTGCAATATATCTCAATAAGATTTCAATAGTCCCTAATTTGGATGTCATCAATACACCAAAACTCATATAGGGGGTGAATGCACTTTCACATCTCCCATCATAATCATCAGCTGACAGAACACTCCTTTGATTATGGGTCCACAAAGAAAGTCATAGGACTCAATATTTAATTATATCAATGCATAAATAGTAGAAAATATATTTATGTTTTGTAACGGAAGAAAAAATATATCAAGATTATATTCTAAATTTGACACTTAATACGGCGTTGTCATATTACTACCAACATTAGCTTATATTATGGATATTATGATTATCATAAAATAAATTATAGTTTTAAATTTTATAGAAATGGTAAAACATAAATACATACGTACCATTCACAATGTTGTTTTTTATGGACGTTTGATATATTTTTTCTCCCGTTGTATCACATGGACATATTTGCTAGTATAAAGTAAAGTTTCAAAGAATTTATATGATAGACCGATAGTTTATAGTTTAAGCATTATATTTTTTTATAAAATAATGTCGCTACACCTATAATTTTTTTAAGATGGCTCAACTATCGTATTAACACACATTAAGCACACTATACAAACTTAAACATATTATGTACCTTCTAAGCTTCAGTTGCTAATGCATTTTTTTAGCACCTATTCTGATAAGGCCCTCTTTGGATTGCAGGTTCTTTTTCCTGAATCTTATATATTTTTTCTATAAAATTAAATTGATTCATGTGGAATTTCTATTTCCGTAAAATTCTTGCGTTCGAAGCTAAGGGCCCTAAAATCTGCATCAAAGATGCTCTTACAGGACATGATAGATAGTTAGATACAAGCATGTTATCGGTCCTAGCGAGCTCGGTAAGATTACATCGACCTGTGACTCATGGAGTGTGTGTTTTTATTCCTGCTGTTGTGTTGTGGGCATGTTCTTTCTCGTGTCTGTGTGGGAGAATCAATGTTCAGTATTTGTATTTGCAGCTAGATTTTCTGTTATCCTACGCATCAACTCTACTATATTTCACTACTTTATATATATTTTTTTTAATAAAATATGATAGAGACATAAACACTGACATACATACATGTGCGCGCACAGCGCACCTATATATAAGACGGATGGATTAACACAAGCACATCCCGTGTCACGAGCCTGCGTACGTACGCGCAGCGAGCCAGCGATGCCCATTTACATACATGCATGTTTGCCTTCCTATCCTATCCTAGTACGGTAGTCCCTCAAACATGATCACGTGCGTGTTTAATTATATTAGTACAGGAAGTAGGATATAATACAGTACAAAGTTTTTATTTCGGTATTCGAGTCTTTGACTTGTTGGGTATATATGTACACCAATGTCAAAACGGCCACGTGCTGTACGTTGTGGTTGTGCCGATCCAGCTCGCTAGCTCGCGTCAAGGTTTTTAGATCAACCTGTGAATGTGAGCAATGGGCATTTATTATTCTGTTTGGGCATGTCCCCTGTTGTGTCGTTTGTGATTGTGAGATGAGCAGAATTAATTGTTCAGAGCGGAGGTGCGTGTTAGTCACATTCACGGATTCACCGTACTGAACCCGCTGCAAATTATATTTGTTTTTCCAGTTGAGACCACTAGCTTGTCCATTATATATTACTATACTACTATAAAAGACGCTTATGTATATCAAAATATCCGTATCATCGAAAAGATCTTTTTGTCTAGACAACAAATTTATTTGAAGATGTAAATATTGCACGTATTTTCTACAAATCGAGTCAAACTTGTGGCACGAAAACCCAAAACGTCGTTTATTTTGGGACAAAGGGAGTACTATGTAATCAGTTCCGGAGACAGCACAAGATAAGATGCATGTCAAGAGCTCTGCTCAGCAACAGCAGAGGCCCCGTCGGCCGCACAAGATCACCAGCAGACTTCATCTGTAAGTGCAGAGGTCTTGAGCTTTGCTGATCGAGTACTCTCATCACTCATGGAACGATGGAACCACTCAGCTACCGTTGCATTTCTTCCCACATCATCATCGTCGTGGTCATCAAGGCACCATTTTGCAACCACAGAGTCCATCAGTCCACAGGGGGAAACATCATGGCATGCAGATCGCAGAGAGAGGCAGCAGGCGAGGGACAGTAGTGGCCTTCAATGAGTGCTCACAACACATGCAGCAGAACAACTACAGATCTGGGTGTGCCTGCACGATTGCACTCTGGAGACTGTCCTGCCTGGCTGTCCATTCTCTCCGCCGACCCACTTCCAGCCACACAGACCTGCTGCTTTTTTTTATCGACGCGGCTGAGCCCACCGGCGGCAGTGCCGGCCCATGCATGCACCGACGCACTTCGCTAATCAGCCAGCCACTGTCGCTGTCGGATTCCAAAAGTTCCAACAGAAAGCACCGACCGATCGACCGGCCGGCGCATCGATCGGGCAGTCCCTGTGTGCCGTCATCGTCCGATGCGTTAACCTAGCTCGTTGCCAATCGCGTCGCATCCTGCAGCTCGACTCCGATCGCAACGGCGCAGCAGCCAAAGCAAGGCTCAAGAAAAGAGGCTGAAACGGAAAGCAACGGCACTGAGCACGCCATCCGTACTGTGCTGTTGGTTCGCATCGGTGGATGTGACGACGGTGTGGTGTGGGGGCAGCAGTGGCCACGCGTAACGTGCGTGCATGTGTTGTTGCCGTGTGCACGCACCATAGCATCGTCGCGGCGGCGGCTGGTCTCTTCCAGGCTGCCAGCCGTTTAGCCCGCATCGCATCTACGGCAAACAAGGCCCGTTCCAAATACTAGATGCGTTATCAGCCCAAGACCACTTTACAGGCCCAGTTTTACTAGTCATGCCAGCCCACATCGCCCTCATTGCCGCCAGCCACCGCCTCGAACGTTCCGGATGAAAATGGCGCGTCTTTCTCCGCGGAAGACTCGTGGCTTCCACCTCATTCGCGACCTCCACGGAGCCCGCCACGCGTCCACAACTCTCCCGCTCCGGCAGACCTCTCCACACTCTTCTCGCCGCCGGCTATGACTATTATATATATAAAACCTAGAGCCATCATCAGTCAGTAGCCACCGAGCTGATCCATCGAAGAGCTTAGTCTTGCCAGCAGACAGCCAAAGCAACTAGACATCCATCGCCGCCACCATCATCATCATCATCGAAGGAGTGGAACTAGGATACGATGGCAACGGCACGAGCACTCCGCCTGGTGGTCACGAGGCCGCCGGCCACCACCAGGGACGGCCTCCTGGCCGCCGCGCGCCGCCGCCTCCTGTGCGACGCTCCGAGCGACGACTACATGGACCGGCCGCCCAGGTTCTCCGGCGCCGAGGAGGCCACTGGCGATGGGGGCCGCGTTGGCAAGCACCCGGTGGGAAAAGCGGAGGCGGCGGCGGAGCGCGTCCCGCCGTTCGCGCCATCGGGGAAGAAGCCGCCACTGGCCGGGTCCGAACATGAGCTCGCGGACCCGACGGCAGGCGCGTTGTTCACGCAGAAGCGGCGGGTGTCCTCCTCCTCCTCCTCGTCGCGGGAGCGGGAGCGGGACCCGCGCGAGGCGGCGACGCCCGGCGGCCCCGAGTCCGCGGCGCGCAAGGTGAGGGAGGACGACAGGGAGTACTACCGGACGCACAAGCCGTCGCCGCTGGCGGAGGTGGATTTCGCGGACACGAGGAAGCCCATCACGCGCGCTACCGACGGCAGCGCCACGGACCGGTACGCGGACGTGCCGGGCCGGATGGTGGAGGACACGGTGGACGACTCGCTGGCGCGCGCCGAGGCCATGTTCAGGGAGGCCGCGGCGCGCGGGAACCCCGAGTGGCCGCACTCCCGCGCGCTCGCCCAGATGCTGGCGCGCCGCGAGCTGGGGAAGGACGCTGCTGGGAGCGGCAAACCCTGCTGGGGCAGCTGAGTTAAGAGGGCTCACGCAGAAGCAGTGTTTGACGCGCACGTAGCACAGTTGTTTGTGATGGTGAGATAGTTGTGCCACGTCGTCGTTGGATCAATTGAAGTACAGAAGTGACCCCCCCAATAGGGCTTTCATCCTTCATCTATCACAAAAGATTACATTTCAACTTAAAAAGTATTACAAAACTTTTCGAATTATGACATTTTATTTTAACCATAATTAACTTTGAACGAGTGTTTGGCCGATTTCCTTTCTTAACTTGTTTAACGAACAACTTGCAAACAAACGTGGTATAACTTACAAACAAACGTGGTATAACGTGATATTATCATCAATCTTTTGAACTTTCTCCATATCAAATAAATGCATATCTCGCTTTTCGAGATAATTTTTTTAGCTTTTCGTGAAGTCAATTTTTTAGTTTGATTAGAAATATAGAAAATAATAATATCAACATTTATATTATAAATAAGTTCGTTACGAAAGTATACTCATGTTTAATTTAAATGATACTATTATACATCATAAATATTATTATATTTTTATATAATTTGGATTATATTTTAAGAAACTTGACTTTTTTTTGGAAAGCGAGTTGTGTATTTATTTTGGAACAAAAAGTATCCCTTTCCACACTTGTACCTGCTATCAATAAATGCTATCTGCCACACTTTGTCAGTGCAACAAAGCAATCTCAGACTATTAGAGCAAGAATAATAATTGACTTATAGTCAAAGAGAGGAGAGAGAGGAAAGCTTGGCTCTCACGTAATAAGTTGAGCACGAAAGCATAGGCAGTAGTGAGTTCCATGTATGTGAGTAGAAATAGAAAAGAGAATGAAAACAAATATATAATAATAAAATGGTTTGTAAACAAATAAAAGACTAACTGTTGTATAGTTTAGCTCTTATAACTTGATTTATAGTCAAATATTTAGCTCTATTATTGGTCTTGGTCTTAGCGTTTTCAACCATTACAATGGTCCATCAAACTATCAGTTGGTTCCATCTGTGATGCTGCATCCCAGCCGTTAGATCAGGGGGACCGGAGATACCTATGCACCGGTGGGTCATACCCGACGTGGTGCAAGGTCCTAGGATTCGACGGCTCGGACAGAGGCGTTAATAGCCTATTCGCTGGTTGGTTTTAGTCAGAGCTTATTAAGTAGTTAATAGTATTTTTTTTTCACAACAAACCAGCACCAGCCAAGTTTATCAGCTCAGAAACCAACCAGCGGGCAGGAGACGTGGTCGGCCGAGGTAGCGATGCCAATGGATGTGTTGGCATGGGTAGGAGGCGGTGCAGCGAGGAGCGCCGGAGGGGACGACGAGCTCGCGGAAGATGAAGGTGACTGCCAAATGCCGGCCGACATGGTCTCCGTGGCGACCGAGTCGCGGTACGTGGCTTTTTGCTCCAACTTTGTTCTTCTTTTTGTGTTGTGGCGGTTGCAGGGATGATTCTGCTCTTATCATAGGAGTTGATGAGGAGGTCGGCGCAACGGCTCCAGGTACTAAAGGAGGCGGGCCCTTCCCGCCAAGAGTTTGAAACTCTTTGACAGCGGGCTCGCGATCTAGAGGCCAAAGAAGTGATGTCTGAGCGTCGGCGTGCCGTGGAGGTGGACAGGCTGGAGTCGGAGAAGAACCAGCTCCACTGCTCCAGGCTGCCCTGCTGGAGGCGCAGAAAAGCCTTCAGGAGGTCTTGGAAGGTGATCCCTCCACCTCTTCTCTGCTTTGTCGTTGACCCGTGTAGTTTGGCGACCAATGCCTTTTGTGCTTGTTGCAGCCAAGGGGCTCCTAGATCAGGAGGTCGTCCTATCCCACCAAGCAGTGAAGGGCTTGGAGGAGGCCGAGCTGAGGGCTTGGACCGAGGAACAGAAGGCGATACAGGAGTTGAAAGGTAACTCACCATCTTGTTTCCATGTCTTTGGAGCTCGCTAGTGCTTATCTGGTGCTGTGGCGTGTCTCCGCAGACTACCACACACGGTCGCAAGCTCAATGCAACGAGGATGTCATTGTGAAAGCTACAAGTTGAAAGCTACATCATAGCATAAGATCGCGAAGCCTCAGATGTCATTGTGAGGATCAATCAAACATTGGCATTTTCTAATCCTGGCGAAGGAGAATATTCTTGAGCTGAGGCAAAAGAAGAGTTAGATATGTTATTGAGCTGAGGCAGTTTTGTATCCCTAAAAGGATTGGAGTCCGCATTTGGTCTACACAAGATCCCGTGACAAGGGTCAAAGCACTCAGATTTGCTTTCATTATCAACTTTATCTTAAAGAACCTGAACCAGAAAACGACAAATCCCCTGCACCAGTGTCAGCACCAGAAGACCATATATTATCAAGACAAAGTGCTTTTTTGTTATGGTTCTGAGGAGGCAATCGTACATGGTAAGGACAAGTCTTACCAAAAGTGTTTTCTCCCTGCCCTTGATGAAGTATGTAATGCTGTTATCTATATCTATATCTATATATAATATATAATATAATAAACCTTTAAATTTGTCTGAGTTCACTGTTCATCCGGCGCTCCCCAAGACTCAGATCACCGTAGATCAACAGTATCGGGTACCGGGGTCCGCCATGAACAGTCACAGTTCAGACAGCGCGGCCCAAGACTCAGATCACTGTAGATCAACAGCATCGGGTACCGGGTCCGCCATGAACAGTCCCGGATTCGTAATGAACAGTGACCACCCCGCTAAAAGAACAGTACTACCCGATAAAGAACAGTACCAACCCGATAAGAAAACACTTGCCCGTTATGGAACGGTCCACACCCGTTCCATCTTTTTTTTTCCCGCACTCCTTCGCACGCGCAGCGTGGGGGCTCCCGCTAGTACTTCCCTTTAAATGTGTGCACACTTTTTCTCTCATAGGTCACTATAAGTGACCTTTTCTCTCATAGTTCACTGTATCTACAGTGTTATTTCGTTTCCCCCCTATTTGCTTTCTTTTTTTGTTTTCTTCCCTTCATTTCGTTCCCACCTCGATCCGCTTCTCCGATTCTAATCCCTCTCGTCACCCCTACTGCCGCCGCCGCTGCTATGACCGGCTCCAAACGCCAGGGTGATGAAGGCTGTGTTGCTAGGAGGGGAGGGATGAGCGGGGCTCTAGGAATACACTAGGAGGCCGCGACTGCGGATCGAGATCCGCCAGCGACAAGACGCCACCCACTGGCAGCGATGAGATTTGTCCCTCACCGCGCAAAGATGTCACTAAGAAGGTGTTTCACCCATGGAGGATGGACTCTCTGCGTCATCCGGCTCTTCACCGGCCCTGTCATACTTTCGATAGGTAAGAAAGACCACATTGACTACACATCCAAGGAGGATATTATCAGGTGAAATCAGATTTTCATTGGTCGTAGAGAAGAAAATGTCTTCAAAGATATTACCACACTAGACATAAGTGTGTTATAATCACAGGAAGGGAATACCCCACTGTTGCAGTACGTGCCACTGCACGCAAGTTACGTGACAACATAATGGTTCTAGTGTATGCACTTGTGGATTTAGATTAAGATGGCTTGCAAATCATGTGCGAATACAGGTATGGCTCTACAAGCCGTGCCGTTGACAATTTAGATCTTTCTACTAAGGATCTAATACTGTTGTGAAACTTCGCACGAATCTGTGGAGAGCGACTCTGGTGGTCCTTCTAAACCTCCTTACATCGTATCATTTAAGACAAATCTATCTCAATCCCAAAAGAGGGTGGTTGAAGAGAGAGTGCGATCCATTGAGTCCGAAGTCCCCATTTTTGTTGTAGTAATGAAAAAGAGCAATGTTGATGCCACTCATGGCAGTTTGATAGTGTGTTTTCTTTCTTCTGTTGAATTGTATATTTCTTTACACTATGGTTCTTTCCATCTAACAAACCATTTGTTATTACATCATAGAAACTTTATATTTTTTTGAAACAATCAACTATATAGATGCCACCAGTTTTAATGCTACAAATTGATTTGTTTCAATTGCTAAGATTGTCAACCTATTATCGTAACGTGTTTCCAACATTCTGTCCGTAATCCACCAGGAATTTGGGTCAGAGTTTGCTGCAACACATCTTCCACATAGAGCGCAAACCGTGGTGCTCCAGTACATAAGAAAGACATGGGAGACCAAAATGTCGGTCTGCGGTAACAGTAAAAGACGGTGGTCTTATAGGAGGCTAGGCCAGATTTGCTCGTGACAATGGTCCGCGAGATGAAGATATATGTCTGTTCGAACTAAAGAAGGAAGGGAGGTTAACATAAGGGTCCACATCTGCAGGAAGCAGTTTTAGTAAATCGTGCTCATGGTATTCTCACCCCCGCAAACGTAAATCGTGCTAATCGCACCAGCGTAATTAATGCCAACCAATTGAGCGTCAAGTACGCAGGCGTGAATGGTAGTAAAGCCCACCTATTTTTCCTTTTTATTTGGGCTTTTCGAATGTACAACATACGTCCCACTGTCTGTCTCTGTCACACGAACAAACTGGCAGAGGCTGCAGGTCTGGACAGATGTGTATATGGTATCCTACATTACACACATACACGTCCACACATGACATGCACCAGTCACTGACGTACACGGCATGCACGTATGTCCCATATATATGCATGATCCGTCCCTCCCTAGTGTGGCGCGCCATGCAAGCTGGCTCGACCAAATTTTTTATTTTTCGGTCTTTTTTTTAAATATTCACAAATAGATTCTCGGTCATTTGATTTTCGTTTATGCACCCTATTCGTTTAAGCTTATTTGGCTTATAAGCCATGATTGAAAGTACTGTTGGTTGATTTGGTGTGAAAGAAAAATACTGTTCGTTAGCTAATAAGCCATGGCTTTTGGCGCCGAGGTCTTGGTGAGGTGTCGGACATAGCGGTGACTTGGCGTCGACGTGGACAAGGCCTCGGCGCCATAGATCTTGGCGCCGACCTCGACGCCGTAGATCTTGACGCCGAGCTATTACCCTATAGCTCTTAGCGTTTGAAATGAAACCAGTACACTTGTTC